GGTGTGTCTCTGCCCACTCTGGGGATGGCAGAGTGCCTGGAGGGTTCAATGAGGCAATGATGCCTACAAGGACCACGGTGTGGTGAGTGGTCAATGGTCAGTAAGCTGCAGCTGCCATTCTGGTAGGTGTTACAAGAGCTGAGCCTTCAACAGTTGGCCCAGGCCAAACAGCACAAATAAGAGAACAACCCACGCTTGCAAACAGCAAGCACAGCAAGCTCTCTACCCTGCACAGGTCAGCCACTGCCCCACCCCTTTCCCCTGGTTCACTTTTTCTTTCTTTGGCTGCAGGAGTGGAGACATTCAGCTCCCCAGGCTACCCCATCGAGTTAGAGCTTTAAGTAAATACACACTCAGAACTGCTGTCACATCCCTGCCCCCAGCAGCTGCAACCCAACCCCTTCCTCTTGTGCTCCAAGCCAGGCCTGGCTGAGCCAGGGAGAAGATATCTACTCCGCACGCACGTATGCAGTCCCAGGGGCCCTGTGCAGCCGACCGGGTAATCCTGATCCAGCGCAGACTCCCTCTTCCTGGGTTTGTTAGAAGCCTGATCAGGCCCAGAGTCTTATGACTTCAACAGATGTTTCTGCTTAAGGATCCCTGGCATCTTTACGGCCTGTTTTTTCCATTCTTGCCTCTCTTCCTCGGTCCCAGCAGCCCTGAACACAATTTGGACTTCATTTTCTTTCTAATGGTTACAGGGACAGAAAGGACTTTTTTTTCTCTTTTTCTTTTTCTCCCCTTTTTCCTTAGCTCTTTAAATCATACCCATACACACACCCACAAATTCCATATGCATCAGATCTATGCTTAGGGTGTGGATTCATTCTTAATGTCACTCCAACATTTGTGGTCTTTTGAGACTCAGCCCATTTCGAACCCGCCCTCCCTGCCTCCACCCACAGCTTGCATTCCTCCCTGCCTAGCCCTGTGCAGGTCACCCTGGGCAGCTGATTACGGTGTCCACCCAGGGCTGAATCTGAAAGCGAGTGCTGACCTCGGCCTCTGGCTGTCCCTCCAGCAAAACATCAAGAGCCTCACCACTGTGCATCCAGAGAGGCGGTGGCCAAATGACAAGAGAGACAGCTAAGGCTGCAGATGCCACGCATCTCGAACTCTGCCTGGCTGCCCTGCCTAGCTAGACTCAGATGGGGCCAAGCTGACAGTGGTTAAAAATGGAACCTGTTCTCCACAGACAGGTCACAGGCTGGAAGCCAGTTGAGCCACTGCTCAGATTCACCCGTAACACCCCCAAGCCTGTGCAGTCCACCCTGCAAGGGTGGCCTGGCCCTCAGGCCTCAGCTCATGGTCTTTGTAAGCCTGAAGCTCCTTATTGCCTCCCAAGACCAAGAAGCAGACCAGAACTTGTCCACTGGGTGCCCCTGGGTGCACAAATAGACTTACCTGCGGTCCTGAAGGCTGACACCAGTGGGCAACCTTGCCTGGGTTGGAACCACTGTAAACCCATGAATCCTAAAGTCTCCGTGTCTCTCTGTCCTTTAACCTAGGAGGACATAGTGCTGACTCAGCACCCAGCATATTTGCATGCATGAGCTGACGACTCCAGACTCGCAGACTATTGCAGTCCACCTGAGGCCGGCCACAGGGATGGGTGGTGGTGTCCTCAGAATGTTCCCCTTCACCCACCTTGCTATGGGTGGGCCTGGCCTGATGGCAAGGTTGAGTCCCCTGAAGTCCTTGCTTGGCAACCATTACCACCTGGGAAGGCTAGGACAACCGCCATGTTCTTTGCCCTACCCTTGCCGGGGTCTTGCCACATACAGCTCCTCTGTGCTCCTTCCTCCCTAGCTAAACAAACCAGAACACTAGCTCCTGTTTGTCCATGTCTGAGGCTCTGAGTTGTGGCATCTTCCCCCAGAGGAGGCTACTTGGAGAGACAGAAACAGCCAAGTGAACAGGTTTTCCAGTAGTGGGGTGTCACATACAGGATGGTGGAGAATGGAAGCTGGAAGAAGGCTCCTCAGTGTAACAAGAAGAATGACCACCCTTCTCACCAGGTTCTGCCCCAAGGCCCTGCGTGCTAAGCCACGCCATGCACCCCCAGTCTTAAGGATACCCTTTCAAGTTTGCTCCACTTCTCATGTATACTCCAACAGGAGGGAGAGGGAAGTGTCCATCAAAATCTT